TCAAAGAGAGTTAAAACCAGATGGTGCTAATATTCCATTAACTGATGAAAATAAGGATGAATATATAAGTTTAGTCATACAATGGCGGTTTGTATCTCGTGTGCAAGAACAAATGAATGCCTTTTTGGAAGGTTTTAACGCTCTTATACCATCAACATTGGTGAAAATATTTGATGAACATGAACTAGAATTGTTGATGTGTGGTATACAGCATATTGATGTGAAAGACTGGAAACAAAATACTTTATATAAAGGAGATTATCATGCAAATCACATTGTTGTACAGTGGTTTTGGAGAGTTGTTCTGTCATTTAGCAATGAAATGCGTTCTAGATTATTACAATTTGTGACCGGCACATCACGTGTTCCAATGAATGGATTCAAAGAACTTTATGGTAGTAATGGACCGCAATTATTCACAATTGAGAGGTGGGGTACACCAGAAAATTATCCAAGAGCTCATACTTGGTAAGTCCTACTGTATTCATGTATTTCGTTTAAAATTCTTTTTAGTTAACTTTAAATTATGTTAAATGCATATTTTATCTATTTTATCCATTCTATTTTTTATGAAATATATAGTTACTTTTTAATTTTGTTCATTACTATTGTTACATTAATTTCTAGTATATAAATTTATCACTACAAAAATTAGTAAATTATATATACAATTTATATATAAGAAAAAGATTATATACTCAATTTATAAATTATATAAAAAATGTATACATTTATATTTATATACACAATATTTATATGTAGCAATATATAAAAAAAATTATTTCAGTTTTAATCGTATTGACCTTCCACCATATAAAAGTTATCAACAACTCAGGGATAAGCTAGTTAAAGCCATTGAAGGTTCTCAAGGCTTTGCTGGAGTCGACTAGCACGAAATACCTTTATTCATGATGATATCTGTAATATAAAAAAATGTATATATTACATATATATCTATAGGTACGCAGAGAAGTATATATATCCTAATATGAGTATCTATTTAAAAGTTTTTGCACTTTAAGAATTTAGTTGTCCTGTAATTAAGAGCGACAACATTAAAACAGGAATGATATGTTAAAAAATTAAATTGCTTAATTGTTCCAAATAACTTGAATAATCTTTATATAATAACTTCAAGTCTTTCAGCATGTTGAACTTTAAAAAAAAAAAAGAAAGATATACATTATATTTAATAAAAAATATTTGCTTCGAAATCTTTGAAATGCAATTGCATAACTAATCTACTTTTAAAGACATGCCATATTTTATTATCTCAACTTTAGGATTTCTTGAGAAGTGATTTGGCTGCTATAATAATGTGATAATTATAATATTGATTTATTAATTGATTGTTCTTATTTGTTAATACTAAAGTGTTGTTATATGAAATATGATTTATGGAAATGATTATATATCAAAATTATATATAAATTATAACAAACTAAAATGTCATACATAATTGCATGAAAACAAAAAGAACAATCAATGATAGTCTATGACTTGAAAAAGAAAGAACAAATGTTCTATATATCTGTGCTCATATACATACTTTTTTTCACTTTTACACATGATATTAATATGATATAATGTTGTCGTGCTCAATAAATTAAATTCTTAAAAAAATTGCACTTAAAAGTTTGCACTTGATAAATTTGATTAAAAGAACCACTAACGTTTGCTTAATTTTTAAAGAATTTAATCTCTAGTTTCATGTATCTAGAATATTTAAAATTATAATTATTATTCTAAAAAGCATTCCGCTATCAAACTTATACTATAAATATTATTATATTATTATTATATTATATTATTATTGAGATATTATATCATAATTTTATATTTTTATGGCACATCAAATTCTTTTCTTCTTTTTAACTTTAATAGCGTGCAAATTTTTAATATTTATATAAATTGTTTGTCTTTTCTTAAAAAAAAGAAAAAACACATATACATATTGATGTAAACTGACTTATTTTTTTTATATACGTTATTCCTTTTTATGATCATTATATAATAATTTAATTATTATATAATGATAAGAAATGTGTGACAATGCACATAGACATCCTATTAAAAAAGAATATAGTATATTCCTATGTGTACAGAAGAATATAAATGTATTTTTTGTCGTTAATGTTATAGAAGAAAAAGTTCAATTTGAAATTTAAAATTAATAAAAATTTTATTTTTTTCTGTTAACATATATAATTTTTAAAATAAATTATAATAAATTTTTTTATATATTAACATGTAAAGTTATTGCATATGAAACTTATTTATAAAATAATTATTTTGATTATTAAGAAATATTTAAAGTTTACTTTAAGAATTTAATTTAATTGGTTACAAATTACCGTTAATTTTTTCTGCTTATTCTTCTAAATTCAATAATAATTTAAAAATATATATTGTGCTCATATAACATATTTGCGTAGTTTATTAAATGAAAAAACATACTTTGAAATTGTTTCTTAAAATCTAATCACTTGTATTTTTTATTAGTATATCCTGATGTGTGTGTATATATATATATATATATATATATATATATATATATAACATTCAAAATAATTTCGAAAATAATGTAAATTTACTCTTTATTAATAATCGAAAATGACAAAATTGGCGTCAAATACAAAAATGCCTATCTTGTATCATATAACATTTATTTACAAAACTAATATACATTCTGAAAGACACAGAGTTTATATAACATTCCATCCTATTTGTACAGTTTATTTTATTGTAAACACACACGCGCGCGCGCGCGAATACGTCCCATTAGATAATAAATAATATTGTCATGGCAGAAATTTTGTGGCCTTAAATTCTGATTATGAGATTTCTTATTTTGAATAAGTCTCTCGTTCGTATAATCTTAGATGTTTTTATGATAATAAAATGCGCTAATGATTCGTTGGTAAAGGAATATCTTTTTATACTCTTTCATCTTCATATTAGATTTGCAGAAAGATATGTGTATAAGCTTTTTAATATGTTAGTATTTTTCTTAGTTGGAAGATTACAAGCTTAAATCAGTATAATCTAATTTATTATAAAGTGCAAGTAAACTGATTTCATTATTGAAGCAACAAACGAATAATGCGCAATTTAATCTTTATAAGTTAAAATGAAAATTGAATAAAATTGTCATTGTATATGCGTGTACAGTACAATGTTCTCTAAGTCTGTCTTATTTGTTTAAATATAATACTATGTAATACATACTGTATGAAATTTTCTTATAATTTGCAATAGTCGAGCAATACATACTGTATGTAATCATTGAACTTATGGAACATTGTCACAATATGATGCAGATGATGCGAGAGACTCACAAAATTTTTGTAATTAAGTATATATGCTCTATATTAAAAAAAATGTAGTTTCTTGTATCATATTCTCCTTATACATAAAAAGTTATAAATACAAAAAGCATTAATGATAAGATATCTAATGAATTTAATAATCGCGTTTGGTATTCTATGCATAAATCTTTTTACAGAAACCAGCGTGTTAAAGTTGTATTTACATGTAAAAATTGTGACGATATCAAAAAGGAAGGTTTAAAAATGTATAGGTATTATCATAGATAGATGTTTTGTTTGAAAATGACGGCATTTATATGCTTCATCTATATAAATATTTTTAACTCGTAAAACTTAATGCCTTATGATAATTATATCACGCATTACAACATATCTACTTAATGTTTGCATCATTATTTACCGATGTAGCGATACATTGAGCTTATTGCTGCGTCAGATAGCTATTATTTGTCTATATACACTTAGAAAGCGTCTTTATCTATACGTCAATTTTCACTATCAATGTCTTATTTAATTTATGAAGACAGAAAGAGACTTAATTGTTTTTAAGCTAGCTCAATGGTACACATATGTTTTATTTACTTACGTCTGCATGAACTGAAAGAAATGCGTGACTTAATTATATATCTTATTAAATCATATGTAAATATAACAAAAAAATATATACAAATACGTTGTAATATATATACATATATATATATATATATATATATATATATATATATATATATATAAACAGGCGCTTCTATATCGCAGTCGCAACGAGAAATACGTAAAAAAATATGCTTATCGTGCTACGCCCTTACGTTATTATTATTAATTATTATACTAACGAAATGGTGGAGTTTTCAATCATGAATTTTAAGCATTAATAATTATATTTAATGAAATTAATATTACAAATTATGTTCTTATATAATATTGTGGAAAACCAGACTATATATGCAAATAAATTATATTAAAAAGTTGCATATTTAGACGTAACTTTTAATTCTTTTTCGTGTAGCTGATACAATAGAAACATTCTCTGTGTGTGTGTATGTGAATACAAAAGGATACTTTATAACTTCTATTCGATTTATTTTAACTTTATACTTTTCGAGACATATCTGTTTCAGTATTGATTTGTTTTCTCTGTGTTCTTTGCTTACTATGTAATTATTGTAATTCTGAAATTGTAAACCTATAGAATACTATTTTCAAGTTTCACATAGATTGAGTAAACATCTTGTTTAATTTATTCTTATATATTGCATGTAAAAATATTTTTATCATAAATTGTGACTATCAAAAATTTAGCCAATTAGGAAACAAACCTTTATTGTTATGTTTGTGAATAATTTAAACAAAAAAGTTTAGTAATATATTTAATTCGAGATGTGCATTAAGTCTTATTCATATATTGATATATATTGATATCTTATCAATTCACATCTCTTCTTTTTTACTTTCTTCAAAATTGATCTCGAACCTGTCTTAAGATGGTGAATCGTTAAATAATCTAATAATTAATATTTTAAATAAATTATTATATTTTGCTAGTGTTGCATCCAATCCATCGTCGAAACGGAGGAAGATCCATTATTCAAATATGCCGCCAGCTGCCAAGTTACCGAGTACGCCGACGCGCTGCGGGATGGCGCTAGTCGCGAGCACATCCGCAGAATCAAAAAAGACAGGTGGGAAGTGTAACATCACACATCGATTCGGCGGCCCGCGTCGAGCCCGAAAAAAAACTTTCCTTCTCCGCGTCTCCCGAATCCTGGCCGTGTCCGGTCGCGACGAGAAAGCCCGGCGTCTGACGTTGACGCGCGCGTACGCGTGTGGTGCGGTGAATCTAAGTGACTCTTTCTGTCTCCAGTTCGGGGAACGTATACGCGTTACACCGATGGAAACGTGACTGTCCCTCGGTCACACACGGTGGTTCCTGTCACGGCGCAGCGGCCAGCACCAGGAACGGTAGCAGCGATAGCCAGCCCTCTCGTTCAACCCCCATCACCGTCGAAGACCGCGTCGCCGACGCCGAGGGAGGGAAACTCGGCGCGCTGATAACGGTCGCGGCGGAGGTCACTGCATTGCGGTGAGTACGTCGAACTCTATAATACGTGTACTTCGGCTTTTCTCCCGCACCTCTACATTTTTGTGCATACGATATTGCGCGACAGCGGAATCTCGTCGCGAAGGTGACACTTTTTGCTCCCTCGCGTCGCGAGCGAACATGACCCGCTGTCCAGGGTTCATTAGTCGCCCTCGGCGACGAGTTATGTGCGATATATACGTCGACACACCGCACTCGGCGGCGGTGGCGGTGAGCTTTACATTTCGGAGCTTCTCGAATCCGCGGATCGGATCTCTGCAGAATTTTCGAATATCCCGCGATAGAGCGTCAAGGAGTCATTGTTCGGGATGTCATGGAGATGTCATTGGGAGGTTCTTTGCGTACGTTTCTTCGTGATCGATTGATAGTTTGAGTTTTGGTAGACAATGACACGCACATATTAAAGATCTTCGTCACGAATTCTTTGATATTAAAAATATTGCAGATATATGTATTTCGAATAGCATAATTATTTTCCAGCCATGATGTTTATGCTCCTTTAAGTGAACAATATTAAAGCGAATATATTATTTTATGAATACCTTGTAGAAAGAGAATAAAATATACAGAGAGAAAATACAAAGAATTTGATAAATAATAAACTTCATAAATAATAAAGAATTTGATAGATAATAAACTATTGGATAACTTAATCCAGCTATGTAATATGTGTAATTATTTATATATATATATATATATATATATATATATATATAAATAATTACACATATTACATAGCTGGATTAAGTTATCCAATAGTTTATTATCTATCAAATTCTTTATTATTTATGAAGTTTATTATTTATCAAATTCTTTGTATTTTCTCTCTGTATATTTTATTCTCTTTCTACAAGGTATTCATAAAATAATATATATATAGGTATAATAATATATATATATATATAGGTGTAATATAAATATACTTGTTTATATTTATTTATTGCGTACATTTGTTTTATTTAAAAATTTATTTGCTATTTGATTACGATGCATATTAAAGTTTTATTTTTCTCTCTTTCATTTTATTAATAAAATATTAAGATTTCAAAATTATCCCCCTATATAAATTTAATAAAATATACCGTCGTTTGCAAATTAATCAATTACGAATATTATGAATATTTTTAATGCAAATTAAAACTTTATATAAAATTGTAAAGTATCTTTTACTCATTCAATCTTTTACTCATACAATTGTCGGTTATACAGTTACAATAATATAATTTTCAAAATTTAGATCAAATAGCATTCTCTTTACTTATAAGAATTTACATCATTTTACACCATATTAATGTCAATTTGAAATTGCTATTATACTAAATTATTAGATTGTTACGATTATTATTGTTAAAATATTGATTGTATTATCTTGTTAAACCAAATCATACGACGCATTGTAATCGTTATCCAACTGATATTATTATTATTATCAAATAATTGTTATCGAAATATTATTCATTTAATCAATTTATGTGTAAATATATATAAAATCCACATAAAAATAATGTCGGTTCCAATTTAATCCTCCACATTAATAATTAACATAATTAATCGTTCTTATTTTTTATGATATTGAGATATTATTTTATTTTTTTATGATATTATAAAACTATATTTATCATTTATTATATAATACTTTTCTCTATTCGAGAATTGTTATTCTTATATATATAAGATAATATCCGAGAGAAATTGTTCAGCGTTATTAATTACATCGAGCGTTGGCGTATTTATGTTACATCAATACTACTGTCCATAACAAATGTCATAATAATGAATGCCAGATGAAAAAGTCTGTCTTGTTCTGTTCCTGATATCTGACTGCTAATTAATATAATATAACAATGTATCATCTGTCAATCTATATGTTTTTCTCATATTCTTCTCGAAAATTATTAATCTCGAAATGCATAAAAGAAATGTCACAGAATTAGATTAAAGTGCGTCGTAGTGATAACAGTTTTATTTTGACACTCATCGCTGACTAATCGACACGGCAAACGTCGTGCATCTATTTTTTTTTAACTCACGCAGTAAACTTGCGTTTATCTTACCTCTTTATACCTCTAGGTATCGCATCGATATCTCTGTATTTTTTTTTTCGTTTTTCTTCTCGAGAATATACGCATATTAAAATGTATATTATTCAATGACGGATAATTGCGGATAGATCATTAAAGCTTAATTATAGTCTTTTCGTATTTTCATCTATATAAAGCGTATGCTATTTGTCAAATCGTTTATTAATATGCATTATTTTATTTATCATCGTTCTTATTTTTCGCGATTTAATATTTGAAATGGATTTTTAGGTCAATTAAGTCTATCTATTGTCTATTTGATAATAATCAGCTGTTTCAACTTTATTGTTGAATTATTCAAATTCGCGGTAGTATGATGCAATATACGATTCGCACATCGTGCATCAAATGAAAAATCCAACAAACTAGCTAAAAATTGAATATAACAGCAAAACTCCACAATTTTCCAATAGTATACTTCAATTTTTTTCGATATTAAATTAGTACAGTTATATCTTGTAGATTTTATATAGGTTTTTATATATGTGATGGCAATGAATTCATGTTTCGTTGTCATAGTAATCGCATATTCTCTCACTATTTTTTACTATACTTTTCATTAGTTAAAAGAATTATAGATCAAAATTTTTAATTATATCCGATTAGCAAAAATGCGATTAAAATTTGATATTTTTGCGAAATATATTTCACGGTGTATTGAGAGTAATATTATTATATATAAACATTATGGTTGTAGAATAAATAATATGTTTTGCTTTGGAATAAGATTTACATGATACGATATATTCAAGCTTGTAAACTTATCTGCTCGAAACATCGGTACTTCACGAAAAGAGCTATATTGTCACAATTCCAGATTTAGTCACAGAGAATCTTCAATGGATAAAACGTGACATTCACAATGCCACTCACGCGTAGACGCACACGCATGGTTGTGCAAGACGGTCCTTTGATCGCGATAAAATGAGGAGAACGTTGCTCGTAAATATCCAGCGGTGCACATTGCAAAATTATGTCTTCGGACGAATCGCATTCCACAACGCAAATGCCGATGGTGTCGTTGTACGGTACCACGACAGTTTAATACATCTGAAGCATCCATTCATTTCCCCGCATTCAGATTCTCGAACGCACGTTTCTGTATTTTAATCTAAATTCTTGTTTAGTTCGGCGTCTCTATTTTTTTTCTTTCCCATGACGTGACCTTATCCTCTGGTGAATTGCTTTTTCTCTCTGTCATCTTCCTCGATAGCTATCGTGCATTTAAGTTTCGCGAATTGACACGTGTTATAATTACGGAAATTTTCCGGAAATCGGAAAAAAGACGTTATTTTTCAATCAAAATCTCCAGCATTTTACTTGTATATAGAAACCGGCTTTATTCGCGAGAATCGCATCTGCGCAGTTTGACAGATAAAAATTTGATTTTTCTCGCAAAATGCTTTTATCGTTTTGAAATGTGCCTTAACCACAGAAATATAGCGCGAAAAAGTTTTAGAAAAAAATTATTTGATGCCTACCGAATATATGGCTGTAAAGCCGTGATTTGATTTCTGCGGAATTTTATATCATATTGCCAACTTGACCATTCACAATTTAAAGTTTTAATTTTTTTACATATATACGTATTTTATCACACATTTTCTCTTTTTCTCTCGAGTAAAATTGTTTTAATTTTTTGAAGTAATAAAAACGATGTGAAATATTAAATTGTTGTAAATATCGAAAATAAACATCTATATGGAAACATATGTCATATACATGTAATAATTTTTATGTCATTATTAGTTTCGCGATGGCAAAGTTTCAACTTTGATCCATTTTGTACACAACAGTACGATATATACGTTGGTCACATAGTAATACAACATTATTAGCGCGAGAGTGTCTCTGTTTTGTATCGCGATACCAATGAATGGGCATTAAGAATGTGACCGAACAGCTGAAAGGACCCGAGTGGAAGGGGACGAATTAACAGGCAGCCGGAGGACGTAACTGCAATGAAATGGCACGATAAACGCGCTAATACCGTCGACTTTGTGGAAACCGCGGAAACTGGGAAAACTGATAAACAGGGAGGGACGCCGACAAAGCCGAAAGTTATCCTAGATTACAATTCGGGTACACAAAGCACTGACGTCTCTGATCAAATGAGTTATTATGCGGCAACGCGCGATCAGTTGCAAGATAGGGAACGGTACGCTTTTGACAGTCGTTTTCATTGTGCGAAATATCTCGGTGTTTGCGTAATAAAATCGCCGAAGTGACCTCACTTGTTTTCACAAAATTAGTTTACCGCCTCATGTTTATCGGAATTCGAGCTCAAAAGTTCCCATTTTAAAAGTCTTCTATATTTAAAAGTTTTTTCGACTTATTTTATTAAAACCACAAAATGAATTGACGAAAGATTATTAGAAAACTCACAGATATCGCGCGGACAGTTATAAAAGATATCGAAATAATAACCGATAGGAAAGAGATGACAGACCCCATCTTGGTGACGTATATCGACATTTTTATGCTTTTAAGATATTTCTGTTTATGCAGAATGTACTGAGAGTTATATTTTTATTAATTGATTAAAGAAACTGTGCACAAAAGACCTGGTAATTAGCGTTTAAGCAGTTTCCCTTATGTAATCAATAATTATACATAACACATGGAATTATTATTTACCATTAATGTAAACAAGCAGAATGTTAAAGGGATAATTGTATGCGAATTTCGGCACATGCAAGGTAGCGCGAGATCGGATCTGCCACAGACAAATGAGGCCACAGAACTAAATTAGTCGCTATACCATAGAGTTCATTAATTGTTGCAAATATAGCTATCACTATTACGATGGTCGCGTAATCTAGCATTCATATAATATACATATAACATAATACTATTCGATAAATTTACTCAATATTAAAGATTGACTTTTTCTTTTTAGCA